TCCAACCAATTTTTGTGGTCCGAATACAAAGAATGTTCGTCTTGATTAGACGAATCAAACGAACCCGAGTTCGCAAAATTCTAAACACAGATCGGCGAGATATTGTTGCCTCACGGACCGTCCGGCATTTGCGATTTTTCATGCGCCGACTTTGAATACCAATAACTCCACCAATATTGTCCCGATCTTGTTGATATAAACGCAAAAATATTCACCTTAATTATAGGGCTATAGATCACAAAGATCTGATCATATGTTCCAGAGATATGGGCGTTCAACAATACCGTATAGACCCGGTGCGAGACCAAACCGTAAACCAGTCGAAATTTGCAACACCACCAACGAAATGAAGAAACTAGACGCCCACCAATAAATAAATAAATAAAAAGAAACGCCAAATACTCACACTCAAGAAACTCGGTACGAAACCGGTCGCGTAAGATGTTGTTAGGAGTTTGACCGCCATTTTCGTTTCGCTGGAGTTGCGAATTTCTCCAGATCGCGATCAGTTTCCAATTTGATTCACGTCGGTGGTGTTGTTAGTGAGTATTCGTCGCTTCTTTTCGTTGGTGAGGGTCCCAGCTAGAATTTGCTGGACCAACTTGTTTTGATAGCGATGATATTATGCAGAATTCAGCCAATCATTGAATGTGTTACAGATATAGGTTATGTGTTTTAAGTCAATATCCTTAATCCCATATTAGGAAATTGGAAATTTGGTTCGATAAAAGTGATCACATGACATACTTGACAGAAGGTTGTTCCACAATAATATAGGGTGGAAAAATCGAGAATGTTGATTGTATGATACACATACACGCAATACTAATTTGATTAATTCCAGTACTATTTTTCAAACTTTAAAAAATGACTCGTGTTGCGTACTCGCGTTATTCATATATACGCGTTAAGTATAAGAGTTTACAAATCATAACTTTTTGGTATGTTTTATTTACATATACGCGTTAAGCAAATCACAACTCTGTGGTATGTACGTTTTATTTATATATACGCAAATTATAACTCTTTGATACGTTTTTAATAAAATGAATCCTGTTGCTAGGGGAAACGCCTTTGAAAACCAAGTAAAAAGTATTTTAAGAAATGGCAATATTGAAAGTTACAAAATTACGTGAGTTTTTTCACTAAGTAATGCCGAGTTATACATATCTGAAGTTACGCTGTCACTAGGATAATTAGATAAAGAACTGGAAGCGCATCGTGGCCACAGTTTGCGAAAGTTACCCGTCAAGTAATCAGACTTGATGTATGGTGGACGGCCTACTGTGAACGTTCTTCTTTGTTTAATTATCTGAAAGCTTACTGTGTTTAATTCCAGTGTTGTGATGAATAGGATATGTGTATAGTTTAACCGTGCTAATTCCGGTTAAATTTATCTTAATAATTATGACGTATACTTACAATTTTTTTTACAATTATTAGGTTGTCAGATGGTGATGGCGGGGTAGATCTAATGGGTAATCATGCGGGAAAACTCCTTTTGATCCAATGTAAGAATCATACAGAAGGAAAGGTGATGAAAGCCGAAGTACGGGGATTACTAGGCGTGTTGTCCAAGTACCCGGAAAACACAATAGGGATCTTTGTGGTTCCTTCTAAAACTGAAAATTACACCCGGAGAGCAGTTGAGGAGGCAGAAAGGTCTAAATTTAAAATATTATTAACAGACAAATATGACATCTGCCATGCAATCAAAATTCATTCAGAAGATTATGTAGAAGAAACTAGTTATATTCGATTTGGCGTTGATGGGAAACTGTCAAACAAACTTATCTTATATATAATATCATTATTTAGTTTATTAATAATTTTATTAATTTTAGTAATTGCTTTATAATTTATTCCAGTTTTTTTAACAAATTTGTTTTTTTCACATCAGAATAATTTTCCGTAATTTGTGGGCAATGGATATTATATATAATAATAATAATAATATTCAGCTAGTGCTTGGATTCGAATAAAAATTATTCGAATATTCACGAATGAATAAATATTCGAATATATATTGTCATTTTTCGAAGATTGTTTAATTTTATTCGAAGATTTTTTATTTTATTCGAAGAAGATTTTTCGAATAATTACTCGAATAATTACAATAAAATAGTCTGATTTGTCCTACTTTGATCAATCTTAGATGGCCGATCCTGAGGATGACAATGAATTTGATAATTATTCTTTAACGAATGATGAATATATTTCAACTGAGCAAGAATCAAATTCATTTGTTTCTACCAGTTCACCAAGAAGCTTGAATTCAATCAGAATACATAAAAAAAGAAAGAAAGAAAGAAGTTTTGTATGGGAGTATTTTGATGAAAATTCAGAAACAAAAGAAACAACATGTAAAATTGTTGATAATAATGGAAAAGTCTGTTTAAAAACTTATGCACACGGTTCAACTACTTCAAATATGATCTATCATTTGACTAGAAAACATGGAATTGTAGATTCTAGCAGTAATACGGCAAGTGTTAATCATATTAAGAATAACAATGTAATTTTTTAATCACATTTTAATAATAATTCTAGACCAAAAACAATCAAATGGACATCCAAACAAGTTTTCAAGCACTCCGAAAAAAGAAAAAAAAAAGTATTGAATACGAACAAATTCAGCAAAATCTTGCTGAATTTATTATCGAAGATAATCAACCGTTTTATATATTACAAAGTCCAGGTTTTCGAAAGTTATTACAATCATTGGATGCCAATTTCGAAATTCCATGTGATAAAATGATAAAACTCTTGATTACAAAAGGATATAATTGGAGCTGTGATCAACTCAAAAGTTTACTTCAAGCAGATTCTATTTCCGTAAGTCTTACGACTGATTTTTGGACATCTCGAAGTGGACACGGTTACATTGGAATTACTTGCACATGGATTAGCAACAATATGATGATGTGTGAAGCATTGCTTGATTTAAAACAAGTACCATACCCGCATACTGGAGAAAAGATAGCTTTATTATTGCAAGAATCGATCAAAGAATGGAATTTGGAAAAAAAAACAATAGCAATTACTACAGATAACGCATCATCTATGGTCAAAGCACTTCGGTTAATACCTGGTATTAAGAGAATTCCATGCACAGCACATACTTTACAATTAACAGTTGGTAAAGGATTAGCTTCAGTTCAACTTCTTATATTGCGAGCCAAGCGTCTTTTGGATTTTTTTAATCATTCTCCAAAACAAATGGAAAAGTTACATCAAGCGCAAAAAGATCTTAATTTTGAAAAAATTAATTCTACCATTTGTGATGTATCTACCCGATGGAATTCGACTTTTTTGGCTTGGGATCATCTAATTGATTTGAAATGCGCTATTTCATATTTGCCAGGACGTATGCAATCTGATTTGGATAATCAAGTACGATTAGATGGAAAATGTCTTGCAAAGATTATGCTAACAATGGACGAATGGAAATTAATAGAAGCTCTTCTTGAAGTACTTGAAGATTTTCAAGAGTTAACAACAACATTGAGCGGTGCTAAATATCCAACTCTTAATTTAGTTTACCCACATGTTAAAGCCATTTTTGAAGAATTGGAAGTTTTGGATGTCTTGGATGATTTGAACATTGATTTGACCGTCAACGAAATTTCTATTCCAGTTTTGAACAACAATACAAATACGATTTTTAACGAATTACCTAATTTGAATTGCAAGAAACCAATAATATTGAAATTAATGACTATCAAGAAACACCAATTGGTTCAAAGAAAAAAAAAGGCTCGATCTCAACATACCACAAAGAACAGAAGGAATACTAAATCAAATAAAAAAAGAACTTTACCAGTCTCTCAAACAATATTGGCAATTTGACAATGAGTTGTCTTTTGTAAGTTGTTTGTTAGATCCTCGTGTTAAAAATCTAGGATTTTTAACCTCTGCACAACAAATCGAAACATGGAATTTAGTTCGAAGTATTTATAATGATGAATCACAAATCATTCCAACTTTCAACTCTCTCATAACGAATAATCAATCAAGCGAAAGTACTCAAGAATTTGACGAAAACAGCAATCGACGCCGCCGAAAAGGAAAACTTAGTGACAAAGTGTATAAGATAACCCCCAGTAATATTTCATTTATAAATGATGAAATTACTCAATATGATGATATGCGTCAAGTAACGCGTGAGGTGAATCCATTAGATTGGTGGAGAATACGAAAAAATGATTATCCTATTCTTTATCGGCTAGCCAGAAAGTATCTTGGAATTTCTGGTACTTCAGTTCCTAGTGAGAGGTTGTTTTCAGATGTAGGAAATCAAATATTAGCCAAACGAACCTCTTTGGATCCACAGCTTGTTCGGGAAATAATATTTCTTAAATGAAACATGCATTTATTTGATATTTTTCCTCCTTTAAATTGAATGAGGTAAGAAAGTTTGTGATTAAAACAATGAAATTCAATTATTAATATTATGCGAAAATTTGTCATAGATTCTCCTTGGCACCCACCTTACACCTGAATACTGAGGATACCATATTCCGAAGAATAGCCTCATAATAGTGAATAGCTATCCGATACATTTTAACAAAAGAAGATACCCAAGTTCGTATAGGTTTGATTCTAAATGATTTATGGGTTCGGGTAAAAGCACGGCCAGTTTAGTCAGCAGTGATTCCGAGAAACACAAAACCCCCCACCACGCAAAAAACTTTTTCAGTCAGAAAAATTTTCTTTGTATCAAAATATTTACTCTTGCTATTAATATAAGAATATAAGTTAGTGTTAATTCATTCTAGTTCATCAATAATACTATCCTGAATTACCTGATTGCGACTTTGTTATTAGTCATTCTCGTTTTTGAAAAGAATAAAGTGATTTGTCGACGCTAGAAAATTTATGATTTGATCGTGCCAATCAAGTACAATTCATATGTGTTACCAACGTGATCATATCTGAAAAATAATCGATCTTCGAATAAATATCTTCTTCGTATTATTCGGATTTGATGAAGATCGTTCGAATAAGAAAAAATATTGGTAGCGAATATTCGAATAAAAATTCTTTATTCGAATCCAACCACTATATTCAACTAATCACTTTAATTTTATTACACTTCAAATATCCAGTTTCTTTAACAAATTTGGTTTTATATCAGAATAATTTTCTGTAATTTGTGGATTAGTCATTTTGATTTGCTTTGACAAGTAAAAATATAGAATATATTTCAGCAACATAAAATATTAATAAAAGGACTTTATATATTACACTTATGTGATACAACAAAATGTATTGTACTATTTCAATCATTTTGATTGTTTAATCAAAAAATTTATTTAGTATTCAATAATAAGTATGATTAATTATCATAATACATGTATTACTGTTATCCAGTTTCTTCTTTACATTACGTTTTTGTATCAATTTTGAAAATGCACTAAAGTGTTGTATTTATGTGACCTGACATAGAATAATGTGGCTGATATTCTAATTTGCTGCTGTAGTCAAAGATTAATTTTCTGGATGTGTAATATATAATATATGACATATATATATGATTAAATATTAAAACAATCTTTTTTACATCCACTTGCATGTATATCTATAAATTAACTTTGTAATGTCTCAAAAGTTTGGTTAAAAACTATTTTTTTTTGTAATGCTGCTGGCAATCTGTTTTCAGTAGTCAGAAATTATATAATAAACATAATATTAAACAAAAAAGTATTTTTTTTTACTTGTTCTATTCATTAACTAAATGCATTTCATTACTAATATTATTCTACTAAATTTATTTCTTATTCACTAACAATCGAAAAATGGGCTTGAAACTGAGAGATAGTAAGATTACTTGATCTTTTTTATATTTTAATTTTGGTAATATTTGTAACTCTGACATTGAATAATTCTACAAATATTTTTGATCTGAATGGATGAGATCATTTTCATTTTGCAGTAATTCAAGCAGAACAAGATGAATCAGGAATATTTCATTGATATAAATATATGAAAATTTTGTTGCAAGTTTAATTAAATCAAGTACAAATAATATTTTGGTACTTATTAGATGAGAACTTAGCAAAATATTATTTATTGTATGAAGAGGAGAACAGGATGGATGGAGATTTGGTAAGTCATCATCATAAAAATCTTGCTATTATTTATAATAAAATTAAAAAGAATATAACTTAGTTGATGATTATTTTGAACTTTGAGTATGATATAATAAGATATTTCAAAATGCAATTAATCTCTATTGGTAAAAGTTCAATATTATTATCTTGATTGAAAAATGTAAGATTGATAAGATCTCAATATTCTAATACATTCTGAAAAATTGCAATTGCAAATGATTTGACAATTATAATGATCAAGAAACAGTTATTATGAATAATTTTTATAATTTAATATCACTGATAAATTTTCATATAAAGTAAATTCCAGTTCTAGTTAGTGATATGAAAGGTTTTAATAAAAAAGATCAATTAACTATAAGAGTAAATATAGAAGAAGTAGATTTTTTAATAATTTGTTTATTGTTTAATTAATTTGATAATCTTGTAAAAAAAAGCACATTCTCTTTAATATTAGTAAATATTTATTAACAAGCTTAAAGACAAGATAAATAATAATGATAAGCATGAAAAGGATTATCTAAATTTAATAATGAATATAATATTTGAATTTAGTTTACTATAAATATTATTACTAATGGTATCTCTTGGAAATGTCTTTATTTGTTGCTTCATCAAATATAACTAATCATATAATCTGTATAGAGATATTAATTATTATAATTACTATTATATTAAAATATATTTATTACAGTTATATATATTATAATATATAAGTACTTAAGAATGGTTACTGAAATGACTAGAGATGGCGCAGCAAGTATGTGACATTTATTTATCACCCGTTGCAACACGTTGCAACTCCAAAATTTTATAAGCCGCAACTAGTTGCAACTAGGTGATGCTTTATTTGTCACCACGTTGCAACAGTTGCCGCGTCATCTTTAAAAATGACATTATCTAATTAAATAATTTGTCAAAATTAACTTGTCAAAATTAAATCTAAAATTATTTTGACTTATTTTATTAGTAATCAAAATTGTTTTTCAAAATTATTTGAATTCTACAAACCAAAACAAATATTTCTAGGTAATTTTTAAGTATTCATTAATATAAGCAATATAATAAAATTGAATTATTTGCTAAAATATCATTTTTTTCAAAAATAATTTAGAAGATCATCTTTATAATACTTATTTACTAAAAATAATGAATATTATGATTCAAATAATTATACTTGACAATACCAACAATTATTTTTAGTACAATTAAAATGGAATTATTTAATCATTATATTATTTGTAATTATTATTAAATGTTTAAATAATATTTAAATAAAACTAAATCACTTAATATTTTTTGTACTTATAATAGAATTTTTAATAATAAAACTTAAAAAAAAATATTAATATATTAATTTAGAACAAATTTCAAACTAACTTACAATTTTTCTATGAATAAAATTGTTTAATTAATATTTTTTTCCTCTTTAACTTGCCAATATTGTTGTATAATGACCTTTCGTCATATTTTATTATTGGATTATAAATATCTCATATATTATTGGATAAAGATTATATCACGTGAAGTGAGCGAACAAGTAAGCGAACAAGCGAACAAGCGAGCGAACAAGCGAACAAGCAAACGAACGAATAACTAAGCGAACGAGCGAACGAACGAGCGAACGAATATTGAACCAATAGAATTTAAGTGATATAGCGTACATGAATTCGTATAGC